AATTGATTAAATTTAGTATGTTATATATCAGGCTTATTTATTTAACTTCATATATAAAATTTTCATGATTTGTATTATATAATGCCCATATAAATAAAAAATGATATTTTTTTTTTGTCTCTCTAGCTAATCTGTAAACTGTTTAGTAAACATGTCTAGTAACTGCATCTGATATAGTGTTTGCATTAATTTTCTTGAAAAGTATTTCTGGTAGGCATTAATAGCTTTGCAACCCTTGCTATTATCGTCACTCTTTTGAATTGCATAGCTCTACAAAATCTCTAATGCCTCGTGTACCTGCTTGGATATGTAATATGGGTGCTCAACCATATCATCTCTACCCTCCTCGTCATTAGCAACTAAATTTTTAGAACCTAGGCTTACAAAAAATTTTTTCTTCATCTGTACTTCACAGATCTCCTGTTTACCATTATAATCAATCAGCTTTTATGCTGGAATCGTATCCATGTACCTGATTCTTTCTAATGCATTTTGCAACTCAAATATTGCTTTGCTTATCTTACTTGATAAGCATTTAGCTTGTGAACCAGCAAGTCCATAATATTTCCAACAGTTAGCAATTGTGCTGGTAGTCACGTCCAGCTCCTATGCAGGTACTATCATATTAATAGCATTAAGTATATCGAGTTTACTCTGTTCAGCCTGCAAGCCCGTACTGAACAGCTCCAACGTTTGCAAGACCTAACGGCAATGGTAATGGATTTTCAGTGTTCTTATGATTCTGCCATCAAGTGGTTGCAGTTTCAATGTTGTGTTTGGTGGCAAGAACTTGATCTCTGTGTTGGCAATGTCAAGTATGCCTGTGGTGTGTGCTGGACAGTTATTCATTAGAAGCAGCACTTGGTATTCAGCCATACGTGTAGAAAACCAGTACAGCCATTTATTAAACAGTACAACATTCATCCATGCTTTGGTGTTAACCCTATATTCATAGCCAAGTAAATGAATATTAACATGTTTGAAACAACAAGACCAAACATATTTGCTGATAATCCAGAGTAGGAGCTTTTCAGAGCTGCTTGCATTTACATATTCCATAACTGTCAGGCATTGCTTGTCAACCTTTTTACCCTCTAACTGCTTAGTTGCCAAAAATTAACTTGCTTGCATATGAAAAAAAAGACCTGTTTTATCAATATTAAACATGTCATCAGGTGCATATGTTGAGATTAAACAGTGCAGGTTGGGCAGCGCATTATTGATAACAGCAGTATCTGCTAATTCACTTTCACTGTGTGCAACAAACTGCTGAATGCTGTGATGCTTCTTAAACTTTTAAAGCCATTCTATTGAAAATGTTAAGGTTGTTTTATCTGGGTATAGATGTGATACAATTTTGGCAGCCTTGATCTTAAGTGTTTCTCCAATTAATTTGCCTGTGTGTTAAAAGTTCAAAACCCACTCAAACAGGCTCTCTTCAAGTTTGGGGTACATGACCTTATACTGACGTTGCTGCTTAGCATCGATTATCATATCTTCAGCTAAAATTTCAGTAAAATGCTTAAGTATATTTGAAATTGTTTCTTATGTGATAGTCTTGCCAAGTGTTTCCCTTACCCATTTGATCAGCTCTGCCTGGGTAATACTTGATTCATCATGTTTCTTTCGACAGATTGCTGCATGATCAGACTCGTTTAAGAACATTCTTGAAAAAAAAAATAAGACACATTTATAGTGTTGTGGTGAAATCACGGCGAGTCAGTCGCTTCGATCTGTCTCACGCCATGTAACGATCGGGGCGGTTTCTGCTCA